ATTTGTAAGAGCAACACTAAATGTTCATTTTATATAGTTCTTTTTTTTTCCAGAAGCCCCAGTAACATTTTCCCCACGCTACCTATCCCTAACTGCTTGCTGTTTTTCCACAGATCTACTCTGCATTATCAGCAAGTCCTCAGAAACATTTACTTCAGGAAGGTCGCTGTCCATTCTCCCAATAACCATCCTGCTCCTTTCAGTTAGTAACTTGGTTCTGTGGTTTTCCCACAAACCAAGGAAATTAAAACAAAACAAGACTTAATACGTTTATAGCACAGTGGCTCTCAAACTTTAGTATGCAGCTAAATCACTGGGAGGAACTGTTGAAACACAGATTGCTGGGCCCTACCCTCAGTTTCTGATTCCAGTCTGGGGTGGGGCCCATAAATTTGCAAAGGTAACAAGTTCCTACCTGATACTGATATTGCTGCTCTGGGGACCATACTTTATAGAGGGTTCTAGACCAGCAGTACCCATTATAGTAACACTAGCCACACATGACTATTTGCATGAATTAAAACTCAAAAAAAAAAAAAATTCAGTCCCTCAGTTGCACTAGTCACATTTTAAGTGCTCAATAGCCACAAGCTATTATACTGGACAAATACAAAATATTTCCATCATCTCAGAAAGTTTTACTTAACAGCATTATTCTAGATAATTGATTAACCATCCTTCCTAACACTTAAGTTCATTCAAATTCTGGATTTTCAATTTTACCAACCCTACACAAAAAGCAACTATCATTTTCACACGTCACTAGTACAATTTTTACCTCCCAGGTATTTTCAGTAGAAGACACCATAATACTGCCAAAAACCTAGGCTCTGGAGTCAGGTAGATCTTGATTTAAGTTGTAGCTCTGCCATTTGCTAACTTTGCAAACTTGGGTAAGAGACCTTACCTCATGGCCTCATGTTCTCCTCTCAAAAGAGGATAATAATAAAGGAAAAAAAAGGCAGGGGATAATACTCATCTTTCAGGACTGATATGAGAATTAAATGTGATGATGGATGTAAACTGCTTGGCACACAGTGCTTAGTATATTCTACTCAAAAAATGGGAGCTATTATTATTACCTGGCTCTCATTTTCCCTTTCCACTCTAGTCCCTGTTACTACCTAAAATACTGAAACCCATGCTACTTCTTTCCCAACACTCACACAATGTTCACTGACAACCCTCTGAGGGCTAGGCCTTCATAACCCCGAAACACTTGCATCAACTTTCTCCTGCATTCCACATTAGCTTCTCAACAAACTGGGATTTAAAAAAAAAAAATCTGCAACCATCCTCTATTACGCTACCACCAAGAATGCAAACTTGACATGTCCTCAAACTGACCAAAATATCCTCTAGTTCTCAGAACTTTCTAAACCAGCTGTTTTGTTCCCCCTCAGCAACTTCCAATCACATTACTGTTCTTATTTTACTATTTATCCAGGGACATGTGGCTCCTTATCCAGGCTTTGATTCATCCTCATCTACTTCTCTGTTGCCTTCATTATCATCTAGGTTACCTTGACCACTTTTTCATCTATCATCGACAACCTGCAACCCTCACTTAACCAACTCTGGAGTTCCAAAGTCTCCAATCTTGCTTCTAGGCAAAAGTATTCTTATAGGAAGACACTATGCATGCAGGTCTATCTTATAGGACCTTATAAATATCATTTTATTAGTCTTTCAATAATTCCCTTCTGCAGTTTCCAGAAGTTGCTTATAACCTTCTCCATATTCTTCAAGGCCCTCACCTAATAATCTCCTCTGAGTCATAAGATTACTTCAACTCTCACTTGGCTCACTCTTCATAACTCCACACATTTTGGTCCTTATGCTAATTAAGTATGTACACTATGCTACACTATAATAATTAAGCACCATTAATTGTCAAGTGTTGTTCTAAATGTTTTGTGTGTAATTTACTCATTTAGTCCTCACAACAACCCCATGAAATAGTTACTAAAGCAATTTCATGAAAAGATGCATGCACCTTAATGTTCATAGCAGCAAAATTTACAATAGCCAAGACATGGAAGAAACCCAAGTGGCTACCAACAGACAATTGGTTTAAGAAGATGTGATATATATGTGCAATGGAGTATTACCCAGCCATAAAAAAGAATGAAATATTGCCATTTGCAGCAACATGGATGGACCTAGAGAATATTATGCTTAGTGAAACAAGTCAGGCAGAGAAAGACAAATGCTAGGTAATATCACTTATATGCAGAATCTAAAAAATAATACAAATGACTTATATATAAAGCAGAAACAGACTCACAGACAGAAAACAAACTCATGGTTACCAAAGGGGAGAATGATGGGGGGCAGGGAATTAGGAGTATGGGATTAACAGATACAAATCACTATACATAAAATAGGTAAGCAATAAGTATTTACTGTATAGCACAAGGCATTATACCCACTATCTTGTAATAACCTACAGTGGAATATATTCTGCAAAAAAAACCCCAAAAAACGAAATGACTATGCTGTACACCTGAAGCTAACACAATACTGTAAATCACATAAATTCAATCAAAAAATTTTTTAAAAGGAGAGAGGTATTGACACATGCTAAAACATAGATGAACCTTGAAAACATTATGTTAAGTGGAAGAAACCAGTCATAAATGTTACACATTGTATGATTCCATTTATATGAAATGTCCATTCTGGTTGCCTAGGGTCGGAAGAAATGCAGAGAATGGGGGATGACTGCTAGAGGTTGTGAGATACTTTTTGAGCGATAAAAGGTTCTAAAATTGATTGTGGTACAGATTTTTGAATATATTAAAAACCATTATATTTGTATACTTTAAGTGGGTGAATTGTATAGAATGTGCATTGTATTCCAATAAAGTTGTATTTTTAAAAAAGATTCTTTAATCTTTTTTATAGATTACTAAATTGAAACATAAGGAGAGCATATGACCTACACATACAGGTAAAAGTGGCAGAGCCAACCTATGAACCCAGGCAGTCTGGCTGTAGAGTCTATACTTTTTAGATCAATATACTCTACTGACTCCTATGCTCTTGACTTTTCCACAGCAACAAATAATTTCAAAGTCATCCTTCAAAGAGATAAACATAATAGCTAAGGCTAATTAGCCCTAATTTCCTTTCAAGGAGAATATATTTAAGTATACCTTGTGAAATAAAAATATATATAAAATGAGGTCACTACAAAGCTGCAGTAATTGAACTACAGTACCATAAAGACACACACATACCAACAGAACTGAATAGGGAATCCAGAAATAAGCCCTCCTATACACAGTCAAATGAATTTTGACAATGGTGCCAGGACCATTCAATAAGGAAAAAACAATCTTTTCAACAAAATGGATCTGGGAAAACCAGATATTCACATGCATATGAATGAAACTGGACCCTTACCTAACAAGATACACAAAAAATTTAAAATGGAACAAGACCCAAATTTAAGAGCTACAATGATAAAACTCTTCAAAGGGTTTCTGTTTGGGGTGATGAAAAAGTTCTAGAGATGAATAAGTACATTTGTAACAATATGAAGGTTCTTAACGCCACTGAATAGTACACGTAACTATTAAAATGATAAATTTTAGTGTATTGTATTTTACCATCATAAAGAAATGTATAAAATGAGTAAATATATAAAACTGACACCGCTGTGTCCTAGATCTCTCCTTTCTGATCCTTGAATGATGTTATTCTTGTTTATATCTACCTCATTATTAGTCTCTTCAGAGGCTATCACTCCTTTTTCACAAGCTCTTCCTCTCTGTTTTTAAACTTGGAGTCATTAGCCTTCATTTTCTCTTCTATGCAGTGGTCCTGAAACATACATTTCCAGTCCTGATGGCTCCAACTCCTCAGTATTTCCATTTAAGTTTCCTGTTACCACCTCTAATTCAAAAGTGCAAAACAGAACCCATCTTATTCCCTTTGAATTCACCCTTCTTTTCAAATTCATTACAGTGTCACCTTTCTCCAGTTACTTGGGTTAAAGTTAAAAATAGTACCTTCCCAAACTCCTAGGCCCTTTTTTCATATCATTCTGTCATTCACAATACTTCTGACAATCTCTCATTATCTTGAGTATTGACTTACTTACTTACATTGTCTATCTTCTTGACTAGAAAAAATATAAACAGGAGCTCCATGAAAATTAGGAATTTTGTCCATATTAATCATGACTCTGTCCTCAGTTCTAGTACAGCACCTGGCATAATCAGCCTCATAATATTTATTGAATGTTGTTACAGCTTATACTAGTTTTTATTAACAATAATAAAGTACATAGACTATCATAAACTGTTCTTAATACTTTATCATATTCACAAAAATCCTCTTGAAGGATTTTTTTTTTCATTATTATGCTCTCCATTTTACAATTGAGAAACTGAGCCTTAGGGTGGTTAAATGTCTTGCTCATGGTCATAACACTAAATAAGAGAGTGAGGACTAGAAACCAAGGGTTCTAACTCAGCTATATCATATATGCCTGTAAAATGAATAAATTTAAAAAATACACCCCCACACATATTTGATTCAAAGAAGTGACATTGATTCAGAAAATCTAAATGCCTCAGAAACGATCTTTGACATATCAGTACGTTGCCAATAAGCCAAAAGCTTCAGATATTCCTCTCAGTGGTACAGGGAAGATAAAAGAAGGCAAAAGTATATATTCTAAAATACCTGAAAAGTCATACTAAGTATATTCCATATTACTATTATTCTGGAGGCATCACTTACACCAGATTACACTGGTGGTAATCTACTCAAACTACTAACAGAAACCTTCTCACCAGCAGTGATGAGTGTCCCATTGTAACCTGACATCTTCTCAGTCTGGTAACCCTTAGATATAGAGACCATGTCTTCTTGATCTCTGCAGACCTACCACACAGTACAATGGCTGCAACATATTAGATACACAATATTATTTATTCAAGAATGAAGGAATTTGAAAAATGTAAAGATACTACCAGAGAGTACTTTACCTTGGCCTCTTCTTGATCTTCCAGAGAAAACTCCATCAATTCATCTGAAATCTCCTCTGCTTGGTCTTCTCCTAGCTTTGGATTTTGATCTAATTTTGAAACTGTAGTAATGGGACTGCCCAGATGTTTCATTTCACTTTCCACCAAGTTTCCATTGTCCTATGAAGTATATTGACAATATTAAAAATTATCCAGGACCCTTCCTTACATTATATACAAATATTAACTCAAAATGAACCAACAACTTATATGTACGAGCTAAAACTATAAAACTTTTAGAAGAAAACAGGAGGAAATCTTCATGGCATTGGATTTAGCAATGATTTCTCAAATATGACACAAAAGCACAGCAACGAAAGAATGGATAAACTGGATTAAAAACCTTTGTGCATCAAAGAACACTATCAAGAAAGTGAAAAGGCAACTGACAGTATAGGAGAAAATGTTTGCAAATCATATATCTGATAAGGGATTAATACTTAGAATATATAAAGAACACCTACAACTCAACAACAGCAACAATAATAACAGAAACAAACAGGACTTGAATAGACATTTCTCCAAAGATATATAAATGACCAATTTTCACATGAAAAGATATATAACATAACTAGTTATTAGGGAAATACAAATCAAAACCACAATGATACCACTTTATACCTATTAATCCTAATGGGTACTACTATTAAAACAAACAAACAACAACAACAAAACCCAGAAAATTACAAGTGTTGGCAATATGGAGAAATTGGAACCCTTGTGCATTGCTGTGGGAAATGTCAAATGGTTCAGTTGCTACGGATAACAGTATGGTGGTTGTTCCAAAAATTAAACACAGAATTAACATATATGATCCCAGAACTCCATTTCTGGGTATATACCCCAAAGAATTGAAAGCAAGGATTTGAAAAGATATTTGTATATCAATGTTCATAGCAGCATTGTTCACAATAGGCAAAAGGTGGAAACAACCCAAATGTCCATCAGCAGGTGAAAGAATAAACAAACTGTGTCAGATACATACAATGGAATATTTTTCAGCCACAAAAAGGAATGAAATTTTGATGCATGCTACAATATGGTTGAACCTTGAAGACATTAGGCTAAGTGAGACAACACAGACACAAGAGAACAAATACCATATGATTCTACTTACAAGAAGTACGTAAAGTACTCAAAATCACAGAGACAGAAAGTAGACTAGAGATTACCAGAGGGAGAAAGGAGGAATTATTGTTTAATGAGTAGAGCTTCTATTTTAAATGATGAAAACATTCTGAAAAGGATAGTGGTGATAGTTGCACAACACTGTGAATGTATTTAATCCCAATGGATTGTACACTTAAAAATGGTTAAAATGGTAAATGTTATGTAAATATTACTATATTTTAAAAAATCATACACACATATACAAATACTATCTGCAAGTTCTCTCTCACTCCAAGAAATCAAAAATCTGAAACATGATCAACTTTATCTACTTAGTATGAGATACGTTAAAATGGTTTTCCCATAGAGTTGACATTAGAATCCATATCTCTGGAGTATCTGAGTCCATAGTCTATTAAAAGTAAATGAGTGACTGGGTAACTTTAAACTCCAGCAGCTAAATGGACAAAGGACACAATCATTCACTAGAGGAAAAATATGTGGCTAAGAGTCACATGAAATCATTACTAATTACTTTTAACATAAAATAAAACATTTTACTCATCTAATTAGCAAATTTTTAAAAGTGATAATAAATCACTTATCCAAATGAGTCTTGGATTGCTCATGAAAATGTAAATTCTTAGAACTTTTTTTGGAAAGGAATTTGGCAATATGTATCAAATATCTTAAAAATATTTATACGTCTTAATCTAGTAATTATAATTCATAGTACTAATCCTAAGGAAAAAAACCCTCTGCAACATAGGCAAAGATTTGTGCTCAAGAACTTACAAGATAGCTTTATTTATAAAAGTAAAACATGAATACACTAAGTGTCTAACAACAGAGAAGTATTTACACATATTATGGTCCACTTATTGGAATAAAAATATCCATTAGAAAAATAATGTTTACTAAGAGTTTTAATATTAATTTAAAAAACCAAGACATAAAGTTTTATATATATATACATATGATATGGCCTTGACTTTACACACAGTTTAAAAAATGAGGAAAAAAAGTGAAATGTTAATAGTGGTTTTTCTCTATGAGGTAGATATTTTCTTTTTTATAGTTTACTATATTTTTTTACAATCTTCACAATGGGCACATAGTACTTTTAAAATCAGAGGAGGGGATACACTTAAAGAATAAAGCAGAAAAAATGTTAAATGCCTAAGAAATTTTTCTTCTCTTTAAATTTAAACAAACAGAGATCAGAGGACATGTCTCCTCCTCCCTTTGCCTGCTCAAAGGTTACTTCTCCAACCCCTTTCTCACTCAAGTCAGCTTAGCAAAATTCAAAGGGGCATAAATCCAGATCTGCCATCCTCTATCCCACAACACCTCAGATGACTCCTGAGATGATGTCCAGTGACTCACCAGTAGAGAAAGAGGAGACATGTAAGGTCCCTGTGGTCTCTTTTGAAACCTCAGGTTCCTGGGCGTCCACCACTCCAAGGGCTTTGAAGTACTGTTTTCCTGCGTAAGAAAAGCTACGTTGGCTGCAAGAAGAGAAGAGTCAGCAGCCCTTATCAAAAACTTTTCATCTGATGAAGCCATGAATAACCGTCACGAAACACAGTGTATGTAATCAAGGTTGACTATATATCCTGAAAATGCAAATTATGGTTTGGATTTGTTGTATGGTATTTAGATTTGCTTTGGAGGATACTAATTTTATGATCACAAGCCAAAGGAAGAGAGGGAAAAAGGAACCTGAGAGGGGTGGAAATGATGAGATTTTTAAAAAGTGATTGTAAAGGGAGATTAGAAGGACTGTATTAATTCAAGAAAAAGCTGATTAGAACAGCCACAAATATGGGTATAACTTAATCAATGTGAGCGAAGAGCAGCAGCTATCTTTTATAGACACTGACCTGGGGGAAAGGATGGGAGGCAGGGAAAAGAAAAAGATAGCTAGAAAAGGGGATTAGTTGAAGGGATTAGTTAGAGAATTATCTTAGGTGGCTCTGGAGAGGACAGTTTCAACTTGGAACTGAAGGATGGCCTGAGGCTCAGACCAAAAAGGACAATGGCCTCCTCAGAAGAGGGGCTAAGAAGCTAGGCTGAGGGGGAAAACAGAAGAAATGAAGAAATCCAGACTTGTATTTGAAGCCATGCAAAGAATATGTGAACAAGTTATGTAAGTTATACCTATTTTTTGGGAAAAAAAAGTCCTAGATTCCTTACACTACAATCAACTGAACATGAATAATAATGATGACCTGCAGTGAAGACTTGGAGCTAAGTTTCAGTCCTAGGATCAAACCTTCAAGAGAAAAAAACAAAAAGAGGTTTTTTTTTCCCTACAGTGATGCAATTTGCTTGTCTAGCATACTGAGGCACAGACAGCTCTAGGTCTCATAATGGATACAGATGAGTGAGTTGCTTCACTCAAAGGAAGAAAACTGCTAATGAATCTAGTTTTATATTAAACACTCACATTTTCTTTATTTGCAGATGAGCTGCATACAGTAGCTTTCTTCCTGTAGCCACAGTTCAAGGTATTCGGGGTGCTGCAAAGCAGGTGTGCCTACAAGAAATTATTTTCTGAGAACATCCAGAATCCTTAAGTCACAGGTAGGTTGGAAATCCTCTGCCTCCCACCGACAAACAAACCCAAATCTAAGAAAGATGAGTTACTCACTGAGCTGCATTTTATAAGTTGTTGATGATAATTCCTGTAGATTAAAAAAACTTATCAGTTAAACCCCAAATACAGTTTGGTTATTCTTAAGTGACTTGAGGCATCCCAACTTTTCCTTTGTTCCATTCTAGGAGCCCTATCCCTAGTTGATATGTCTCTTTTAATAACAAAATGTAGGGTGTTCTCTGTGGTAAGTATGAAGACATTGAGTGAAATCCTGTATATAAGGACTTCATTTCACTTGCATAACCATATATATAGATTCACGTCAAAGGTGACAAGTTTGTCCTATATCTTATATAGACACAACTTACAATTTAGCAATTTTTCAGCATTGCTATTGGGAGCCAATATTTACTTTCTATGAATTTCTATTTTCCCTTCCCAGATTTTACCTAGTCTACATGGGTTAGGACATATTAAGCAATTAAAAAAAAAAGCAATACAAAGTAAAATCTTCACATGTATTGATAAAAATACTCATGGAAAGCCTTCCCTAGTGCACAAAAGTGGCATCTAATTCATCTAAGCATTGAAGGATAAAGTTATACATAATTAAAACAGTCAAACGGAAAACTTGCGATAAGTTTAAGAAGTGAATTAAAATTACTCTTCATTCCTTGAATACTCTCTGACTAAATATTTTTAAGATTGTCAACAAAGAACCTTCAATAGTAATAATAATAAACATAAAATGCTTGGTATGCATTGGGTACACATTTTCATTTAATCCTCACAGGAGCCAGTTATGAAAAGTACTATTATTATCTCCATTATTATTATTATTTCTTTATTACAAATAAGAAACTGAGGTCCCTTGAAGCTAAAAAACTTGTCAAAGTGAGTTGGTAAAGTAGTAAGCCACTCTTACCCAGACATACTCATTCCAGTCTGCACTCTGCACTTTTAACCACTAAAATACAGTACTACTCACATGCAGATAACAGCCTATGCCTAAGTTCAGTATATCATTTTCCTGTATTTTAAAGACAATACTACTTGTGTGATGGTTAAAATGAACAGCCTTCATTTTCACAACACAATTTAGATCTGGGAAACTTAAAAACCTTTTAAGAGAACAATCTAGGCCTCCACACCCACTCACATCCAAAGTGAAACATTCTCTACAGAGTCTACAGAATATACTATCCCCATGCCCGTGCTGAAAAGGCTTTAGCATGGGGTTCATTTAGAAAAAGAACTTACATTCCAGCTAACTGTATTTCCTCAGGTACTGAAGAATCCAAGGGACCTGCAATCAGATACAGAGTTATTTTTGTCCATGCATTCTGTCTTTCCCTCTAATTTTCTTCATTACCAGTGAGTCATATTAATGTCAAAAGCTGACCTTTTGAACACAAAGGCTCTTAATAGGTGCCAATTTCATTGTATAAGGTATAAGTTCATGGCAATATAAGAATTTACGTGTGTCACTGAAAGAAAAAAATATTGAGAAGAAGTGCACTATACTAATCTACAGAGATTTTTTTTCATAAGTAGAAAGGAAAGCTTATCATTCAGGAAATCAAATTAGAACAAATATTAAAATGGTTGACTAGTAAAACACATTCCTTTTGGGCACACACCTTATAAAACACATAAGAATTAGCTGACAAAGTATTTCTTTGTGTTGGTTTCTTTGCCTCTACTGAGAGTAGACTAGGGTATAAAACTTCTCATCTTAACTACCAATTTAATTCACAATCAGTCAACAAAATATTCCTTCCTGTCTAACTTTTTCAATGCAAAGTGACCCCTATTAGGGTCAATTCTCCTCCCATTGGCTGATTCATTCTACTCAAAAATCCTCTAGGTACCCAATGCATTCAAATTTCAAGGTTCTCTATCTACTTTTATCACCTTCGGTCTCTATCCTTGTATCCTGTCCTCTCCCCTAAAAGTTATTTCCTTGAGGCCTTTGTTTTCCTTTTTCCTACCAGTTTTATCAAGGTCTGTAGAAGTGGTAAACTGAGTGGCAGACATCTCCCCGCTGCTAAGATTTGAAAGATCAAGGCAACGCTTTGGAGTTCCTCTGTTGAGACATAATAGTACATCAAGATTCCCATTAGACTGTAATATCCTTAAAAGGAAAGATCACATTATCCTCTTCATTTGAGACATCCCTCAGTGACTATCATATAATGCGAACAGTGTCCAAATAAATCTGATTGTTTCTTGGAAATATTTCAGACTAGGCTGAGAAAAATCTCCCACCTTTTCTCTACTCCAACTACCTGTACCTAATTTTCTCCTCACCAACATACTGAGAGAAGATAATATTTTTTAAATTGAGAACCAAAGTTTATTGTTCATAGAAGGTCTTGACCCCACATCTTTTGCCCTTTGCACCATGAGCACACAGATTTGATTTCTCCCGGGAGTCTCTAGTACTTCTCAGGCATTGTGATTCTCCAACTTTGTTGGCTAGCTGAGGCAGCAGTGAATGGCATGACTAGAATTTAAAGTACAATAACAATAACACTAATTGTAACACTAATAAAGTGAAAATTCATATAATGCAACAGAGTTTTCAAAGACTTTTTCCAGACATCATATCATTTGATTCTCACAAGATCCTAATAAGATAGGAAGAAATTGATATCTCTATGCTACAGAAAAGAAGCCTGAGACTCTAAAGGGTCAAAATGGTTAGTCAAGGCACACCTAAGACTTAAACCCTGATCTTTGAGCCAGAATCATTTTTAAAAACCAAAATCTGTTTAGAAGAGCGAAGGAGATAAGGTGTGAGCAGAAAAAGTGGATTTACCCAGACAAAATGCTTGAGTCTGCAGAATCACCAAAAAGTTTCTCCACTGGAGTTCTAGGGAGATCTGAACAGATGGTAAAGGAAGTATCTCTCTCCAGGAGCAGGTTTAATACCTTCCTCTGATTAGACCTAAAACTAGGTCCTGAGCCAGTGCTTCTCTTCTCTCTTGTAGATGTAAAGAATTCTGCAGACATGGTCTCCGAGTTCTCTCTAAGAAAACATAAAACCTAACTAAGAAAGGAGAACGTCATCTACACAGGTACACCACGGAGGGTCCAGCTTTCACAACCTCCTCCACCCTTTCCAGCAGCGGCCAAGCGGATCAATATTGGAGAAGGAGGCATTCCCAAACGGTGAATCACAGCTTGGCTTGAAGGTTAAATAGTACTTGCCCGAATTGGCTTGGCCTTTCCGTCGGAAACTGAACTTACCCCAAGGCAACCTCAGGACCTTAAAAATGGAATAAAAAGAGGACTTTGACTTGTTAGGGGCCACACAGCTCATGACTCCTGACAGGAAGGGGTTCAGATCTCCTAACTCACAATAATGCCCATTAGGTCCCTCTAACCTTTCGCACAGGCCCTGATTCCGCGGAGGAGGCGGCTTTGGGCTTACCTCAAGTTTGAATCTGAGACGTGCCTTCAGGAGAAAGGGAAGTAAGTGGGAATCGGATCCAAACGAAGACTCCAGCAGAATTAAAGGAAATCTAGGGAAAGGAAGCAATTTAATCATACTTCTCGACTGGATAGGCGGGGTCCGGCTTCGCCGCTTCTCTCAGCAGACGGCCAAAGTTACATCCTCAGAGAAAGAAGATCAACAGCCAGCCGCAGGCCTTGACCATTCAAACCTTCCGCCCTCTCAATAGCCTATCCCGCTCGCCTCTCAGCTGAGTCAGCCAATCTCCGGGTGCCTGCCCAGACCCATCCCAGCCTCGGCCAATCGATTGACTCGTACATCACCCGGGGCGTGATCTACTCCGGAAGGAGCGATATTTGCCCCGCCCCTCCACCAGAGCAGGCTGCCAATTGGCTCACCAGATTTCAGCAAAAGCTTAGGTAAGCCCCGCCCCACAAGGAGCTTGGCGCGTCATTGGCTCTCCCTCTGGCCAATCATCACACCCTTTCTGAGCCCACCGGTCCCTCAGACCCTCAAGCCCCGGGATGTTTAAATCGCACCTTGCTAGCGATCACCACTCCTTAGGATACTACCTAATTTATGTGGGACCGTGTTTCAAACTATTTTTTTTCTTCCCTGCTTCTTTCTCGTGTCATTACGTTTTGCTAGCCTTCTGCTGTAGATGGAACATTTGCCGCCGGGATGGCAGATGTTGCGACGAGACAGGTGTGTGTATTTCTGATGATCGGCATTGGCCCCTTCCAAGAGCTTTCCTTGGTCGGTGTCCCTTTTAAGCGCGCAATATCTGAGATTCTAGGTTATGTGGGGTAAAGGAAATTCCTTTTCAAGGAAAATAGGAGGGTTGAATCATCTCTTCGCTTAATTCTTACCACAGTCCAAAGGATCTCAAACTGTGGTTGTTTATGGAAATGTGAACATTGACTAGGTGATATTAAGAATTTATTCTTAATGTTGGGGATTTACTTTTAAAAAATCCTGTAGGAGTAGTGGTGGGTATACATGAAACAAGATTGGCCGTGAGTATTGGGTGATGTGTAACTGGTCCATTTTATCAATGCTCTCAAAGTTTAACCAGCATACTAATCACCTGGGGAATCTTGTTAGAATGTAAATTCTGATTCAGTCGATGTGGGTTGGGGCCCAAGAGCCTGCACTTCTAAAAAGCTCCCAGCTGATGCTGATGCAGCTGGTCCTTGGACCATACTTTGAGCAGCAGAGGATTATGCTATTCTCTTTGTATATCTGAAATTTTCCATAATAAAAAGTGTTTAAAATAACCTCAGAAGCTCTTTATAATACAGGCCCCCAAACTGATGATTCAGTCTAGAGTGGGCCCCAGGAATTAACAAGGCCTCCAGGTGCTACCCATGAAGATGGCTTGCAGAGCACAGTTTGAAAAACAAATCAGAAATGCAACCTTTATCTTTGAGAGACAGTAAGTCACAAATACAACATTTATCTGGTGTCAGGATTTTAGTAGTAGTAGTAGTGGCTGAGAGGTACAATGTAATTAGCAGGGTTTTATCCTAATACCCTTTTTATCTGTAGAATCTACTTCCCCAGAATGGAGGTGTGTGAGGAGTCTTTATCCTATAGTATAGAGATGGTGAGTGTGGGAGTCAGCACAGAGCCCTGCCATGCCAGGTGAGTTTGAAAATCAGGCTGGGGATTAAGGGAATATGGGATGAATTGGTTTCTGCTTTGATGACTATAATCACACTTTATGGGGCCACTATCTACTTCTTCACAGGTGGGAGGTAGAGACAGATGAAATTGTCCTACAACGGCGGCAAAAGCAGATAGATTATGGCAAGTGCACGCCTGGTTACCAGTGCTTTCTGCAGCAGGTTCCCAAGTGAGTGTAATTGTGGACAGTCACAACAAAAGTGTCAACCAAGTGGCTTTTATTCAATGTCAGATGATGGAAAGATACTAGAATCTGAGTGCTCTCACAAAGTGATCTCACTTTGCAGCATTACTAAAATGAATTATCCTGCAATCTAGCCCCAAAAATAAGTTTCTAAAATTTTTTTCAAGTGGAACAAATAATATTTGGTCCATAAGACTTTTTAAAGCTCTACCCATATTTGCTAATGAAGTTTTTTTTCTTTTTTTAGTTTAAATGCATTTTATTTTTAGAAGACCTACATGACATGTCTTTTTTTTTCTCAAAAACAATGCCTCTGCTCCAAATAAATCAATGTCAAAATAAATGAAGAGCTCAAGATGACATCAGTCCCATTTGTCTAAGACCTGGTGCTGCGTGGATGAAAAGCAGGGGCCAGCCAGTTATGATGACAGGTGATAGATCCAAAGTAACAGCCAAATTTGTTAACATTTTTCCATTTCTAAACCATCCTTAAAGAAAATCATGTGTGGGGTCACGCCATCCTCACAGTGGTCTAGCAGAGCAACCATGCCATCTGGATTCATGTTTTCACCAATAAACAACTGATAGTTTTTGAAATTAGCAAGGATGTGCTTGATTTGTTCTGCAGTGCCTATTATAAAAGGTTTTTACTCCTTTTGGCCTTTGTTCGTCAAGCTTCGCTTTGATTGACTTCATGTAGCCTTTGATATACTTCTTGTAGGTTTCTTTTGTGAAGCTGGTTTCCTGCAAGTTATGGTTCATGACAATATCGACACCAGTGATGACTGTGGTTTCGTGCCTTTGCCCTCAGGGCATTCAGTGGAGGCATTTTCACCAATAAGCGAGTCATCATTGTTACCCCCTGTCTTACTGGCCAACTTCCCCTCCATCTCCAGACACAGCCTGTCTTCAATCTCCTGGATCTTGTAGATGTCAGGGGAACATCTCATCATGGCTGATGAGATCCCAGTAGATGATCTTGATGGCGGCTGATGATGGCTGAGGCGCTAGATTAGCAGGAGCTGGGAGAGGCTCTGGGGGAGGGGAGGGGTTTGGGGGAGCAGGTGGAAAAGCTAATGAAGTTTTTTTTACTTCCATCCATTTTCACCTCATACCTCCAGCTGACTTGGCTAATTATGATATACTTGCCTAATTACAGGTAAGCTTATATGAATACATACAAACTAATGTATAAGAAGGTAGAATTTATTTTAAAGACATGTCAAATACTGTCTTTTCTATCTATCTTGATTTCTGAGAGAATTAGAATATCTAATTTACCCTTCTCAGAAGAAAGAATATTAGGGAGTTGGGAAGTTTGGTGTTTAAAGATCTCTTTGGATTGAGAGAATTGATCCTATCTTATTCTCAGAGACCCTAATGAGTCTCCTGATTCACTGTGATAAGCAGTGAGCTGTGCTCCATCACCTTGACCTTAGTCTGACACATTTGTCATTGCCAGGGCACAGCGACAGCCAGGATTTCACCCTCAAACACCAAACAAGAACAGGAGGTACAGTCGTCGCTCCTGGGATGCCCAGATCAGGCAATGGAGAAGAGCTCTACATTCATGGGACCCCCCTAGCCAGCCTCTGCAGGGCAGGGGGGCTGAGGGGTACGTGCATTATTCCTGGTTACTTCCTTGAGTGGTGGACTGAGCCCTACCTCTCCCCACTTTGCAGAAGTTTAGCTTTCACTGGCTGAAAAGGGAGAGTTTGAATGAGGTGCATGTTCTTCTGACTCTGTTGCCTCCCTAGGCAGGAAATGGAGAGTCTCTTAAAGCCAATGGATCCCACCCCTTTGGAGGACTTGTCTCAGGCCATAGAACCCTCAGAGAATCTGGATGAGAAACAGAAGGGAGCCTCTGCTGGAATCCACTGGAGCAGGGTCAGAGATGAGGTCTGGCTCAGGAGGTTACAATTTTGTTGGGGTTCAAGGTAGTAGCCCAAGAACAAAAGAAGAAAAATGCGACAGCAGGAAAAAATGGCAGGACATGAGTAAAAAACTTTGAACTAAAACATTAGGATATTTAATTAGTAATGGAGGAAAAGTTGGGCTTCACTAGGGGCTATTTTATACTTGATGAAAATGGGTGTAATCTTCCTTTGAAATGAGAACTGAAACCTGACTTGCAAGGTTTGGTGGTTTTAAGTGTCTCAATGTCTTTGTTTTGCAAATGTACCAATGCTAACTTAACTTCTTATACTCAATCACTTAACTTTAATAAGCATGGTATTTTATTACTAAATAAAAAGGAAGATCACCTAGTGGTGAAGAACAAGGGCTTTAGAGCCTCAAACTGCTTTTTAATATTACCTTTGCCCACCATATGAGCAGTCACTTAACCTCTCCTGCTGTTTCATATGTCAGATAAGGAGATTTTGTCTCACTTGATGATTGGAGGCAAAAATGAGAATACATATTTAAAGTATGCAGCACAGTGCCTGGCACATAAGTGTTCCACAACAGCAATTATTGGAATCCATGTCTCCTGTCCTGCATGGTCACTGCCCCTTCTTTTGCCAAGGGGAAATGTACAAGACAAGCAAATGTGAAGTGCATCTTCCTTCCACTCCCATTTTCTTGATAAGTACCTCACTCTTCTTTTTCAGTTTGCAGATTTGGTGGCTCCTGCCCCCTCCTTTCCCTGGCTCTGTGTTGAAGATCCCACCACTGGCTGTACTTTCTAGCTGATCACAACTACTTATCTGTCCCAGACTTGAGTAGGGCACAAAATAGGGAAAACATGTCTTTCGGGGGACTTGTTTCTGAATGTAATAGTGAAGATGACTTGCATTACTTTCTACTTTCCAATCAATTTAAAAAGAAATCTAAAACTCTCCTACAAAGAGATCATAACACGAAGGCATTGTTTAAAATCTCTCCTGTTCCCATCTTTTCCCCCTCTCCCTAAAACCTTGATAGCTCAGAAGCAAATTTACATAAGAGCCAGAAATCAATCTAGCTGTTCCACAACTTCTTCACCTATTAACTGCTATATTCAGGCTCTTCAAAAAGGACTTAAACTTTGGCTGAGGTGGGAGGTGGTGGTAGTAGTGGAGATTTAATAAAAGGTGGTTTTCTCTTCCTTAAGAGGAAATACAGTGCCATCATCATCTTTCCCTCCATCGGCCTGTTTCCTCCCTCTCTTTCTATCTTAAAGAAAAGTGGTCCAGCTGTAACCACCGTACTGGCCCCCCTCCCCCCACGCAAGCAACTGAACCGCCTATGATGTCATAATCACAATCCCATTACCTCATCCTGCTGGGAGGGGGGCGTAGAGGGAGGAGACGTGAACAGCGCTGGGCCCTCGTCAGCTTTACAGCGTTTTGGGTGATACCTAGTTATAGAACCAAGTGGGAACACCCCCGCAACCGTTATAAGTCCTTGGTTTATAAGGTTCGAGCGGATCCGGCTACTGGAAAAGGGGCTCCTGGGACTCAGAGCAGGCCCTAATCGGCGCTTGGACTACACTTCCCAGAAGCCTTCGCGCCGCGGACCGGTCCTCTGCTGGGGGAAGGGGGATTCCTTTAAAGAGGCTGCCGTGGAGGGCGGGACAGGAGAGCAGGTGAGAGGAACCTTGGCTAATTCTCTTACGCCGCTCGAACCGAGCTGGGGGCTGTAAGTAGACAGATGTAGTAATGGAGGGCGGGAGCGATAGCTTTGTTTATCTTCATCCGACACGGCCTCCCCCGCGGGTTTCGAGGTTTGCCTCCAACTGGGCCAGTTCACCTTCTGCACTGTTTTGGAGGGGGTGACTAGATAGTGAGGAAACGACCCTAATCCCTAGTCAAAGAGGCAGGCCTCTTCCCGACAGCGCTATCCAAGAAAGACTTTTCGGGAGAAACGACGCGTGGCTCAAGCCTCCGCAGACGGTTCAGGCGGATTCTGCGAACCGGAGCTATCTGCCCACTCTCCTCAAGGACCCGTTGGTTCGCTCCGGCGCCTTTTAAGGGCACCGTGGGGCGAACCGAGCGCTCAGAGCTGCTCCGGCCGCGGCCCTGGGAGCTGGAGGAGCCGCGGTAGGTGGCGGAGGGCAGGTGGCGCTGGGGCCTCGGGGCGGGTACCACGACCGTCCCTCCCTCCTTCCCTTTTTCCCCTCCCCCAGTCCTGCCGCCCGCGAGGCAGGGCCTCGGTGGCCGCCTCCGCGGGGAGAGCACGGGACCCAGTGGGGGAGGGGGTGGCGGAGTGCTAAGTCCCAGACCCTCTCCATCCCCTGCGTCCTGAGTTCGCTTCCCGCGGCCAGATGATGGAAGCTGATTGGGAAAAGGCGAACGACAGCCTCCCTGAGCGTGCTCCGGCACCCCCCCCAACCAGGGGCCAGCGGACGCCCCATGCCCCACCCCGTGGGGACAGACAGGGCAACCGAGGGAGAGGTTGAAGATTGGAGGGGGGGCCTAGTTTTTTGCTTCTTCATTGGAGTGGGGGGAGGGGTGCTCCCCTCTTGTCACCCCTGTCCCCTCCAGTGCCATATGGAGGAAGAGCGGTCAGATCTCCACTTACCTGTTCGTGCACCTCCCTGCCTCTCTCATGTTTTCCTTCAGTATCCCCCAGAGCTGTGGGACTGGGACCTGGGGGGAAGGTCCCCAGGGGATATGTGATTCTCCTCCCCCTTGGCCTGACTTGATCCTAGGTTCTCCAGGTTTCAACACAACCTCAGCATCCCTAAACCCGAATGTCAAGGGTTACTGCCACCCAACAGGGGTGAGGGTCTAACCTTTATTTTAGGGGGATAATGGTGGAGAGAAAGCCTGGATTGAGAGTTTGGGCCTGGTGGTGTTTTGGGGAGGGCCTAGCGGCCTGCTGCTTTATATAGGGCTGAGCCCCGTGCCAGTTGTTAAGCTGAGAAGTTTTAACTTGTTTAGTGAACGTTCAGGGCTGTCTCTGCCTCTCAGATGTACAAAATGGAAGGGGGAAGGAAGGCGGCAAGAGAGGGCTTCTTATACTTTTTTCTATGCCTGCCTAAGAAAGAGGAGGCCCCTCGCGGAGCTGGTTTGCCTTCTTTTGTGTCCTGGTTTGATTCCTTATGGCTTCCGTTCTGTTCCCCCTCTCAGCCTGGCCTGTTTTAGGAAACTCAGACTGAGAGTAACAGTTGCCTAGTGGTAGTTGCATTGTTCCAATTACCGCCGTGTGTGGCCACATCCCAACAATTAAAATGCAGAAAAACACGAAATCACTCTCTTCACTTGATCCCAAAGAGAGCTGGGAGTTTGCTGTTTGGCCAAATGCCCCATGAAAAGCTTGAAAGAGTTTGCTTCACTCCCTGCGCCTCATGGCTGGTCAGCCTGAGGCCTGGGATCTATGAGGGAAAAGCCTGCAGTTAGGTTCCCTCTCTGGTTGATCTTTGAGGGCAGAGTTAAGAAACCAAGAGCAGAAGTGTTATAAGCTTTAGCTTTCCCCGCAAGAACATAGGGGAAGCCGCTGAAGGGAGCTCTCAGGAAGCTGGAACTTTGTTCAGTGTGGTAATAATAATTGTGCATGAAAATGTTATTTGACTATAGTGATGATTGACTTCTCCCACACCTTTTTTTCCCAACTCCAAGTACATCGAGGTGTATGTCTTTGCTTTTCCTTTTGGCCTGCCTCCCTCTGAGGTGGGAATGGGGTAGAGACCATTCTCTTTTTTTGCATAAGTAAAAGTGATCTGCCCTCAAGGTCACAGAAGAGCCCTTTTGGGCCTCTGATCTAATGCCAGTGAGGGAGGTTGGCATCCAGCCAAATAGATCAACCCAGTTGCCTTCTTCATCTTTATAGTATCACTTATGGCATTCTGAGGCTTTGCAGAGCAACAAATAGGAGGGGTGAGAAACGGCAGTCTGTATGGACTCCTGATTTGTATAGGCCAGATGGTATACTTTTTACATTTTGATATTTTGCGTTATGTTGTCCCTGTGACAGATTAAGATTATTCTGCCCATTTTACGTATGGATAAACTGAGACTAAGCTTAAATGATTTGCCAAGACCATCACAGCAGATCCAGATTTGATTCTTGATAGTTTGTTCTCTCTGCTAGCAAAAGCAAAAAACCTTCTGGTGAGCAGTCTGCCTGCTGGTCATTTCTGAGAACAAGCAGAACAGTATGGAAATGTTAGATTTACCTCCCCTTCTCCCTTGAACAAGACCTTTCAGGCAATTATGTGGGTTTGAAGCTGCCTCCTTGATATAATTAGTTTGCTTCTACTGGAGACTATGAGAAAGAGTTTTGATTAATTGTATCCCTGGTCTTTGAGTCAGATCAGGCTAAAAACTTGGTTGAACAAAGTCAGAGTTGTTTTTAACATCTGTAGTTGAATGTAGTAGGGAATTATCCTGGTACTATTTCTTTATCCTCTTATCATTTTATAGGAGAATATGTACAGTATCTATTGGAGAACAATAACATATCAGCTGTTTAGGCTAAAGGGGAACATAATACCTTGTTTACTCTGGTTTGAAGCAGAAAGTCATTCTTATGACCACTGTTCCTCTCTGTTCTTTATTACTATTTCTGTAGTTTAGGAAAAGGGTACCTCTTTTTGCTTCTGACTGGAAGGTAAATATTGAACTAACCAGGATAGAAATGACAATTTGGGCATTCCTTTCCCTCATTTGAGCTGTTTTCTAAGTGGTACTAGTATTCTGGTTAGACAGAGCAGAGTATGAACCAGGTTAGGAGCGGCAAATAGGTTTCAACTTGTTTGCCAACACCATTTCATTTTACTAGTTATCCAGTAAAGTTCAGAATGTTTCTGAGGTTATGTTTAGGCTTACCAGGAAAGAGCTGTGATCAATTAATGATGTCTGCCAGAGGCCTGACATGGGGATGCTGTGGTATGTGTGCCATGCATTTTCCATCTCTGGACTAGGTACATCTCTAATATCACTTGGGGTTGGTCCCCCTGTAATTGGCAGACTCAGCAGGCATGACTGGAGAGGGAAGTCCCAATGGTGCTAGAATGGTGCTGCAGTGGCAGAAGACGGCTCACGAGTGAGGTCTGGAAGAACAACAGGGAAGACATCCATCATTTGCTCCAAAGTGTGCAAGTCAAATTCCGGGGAGAATCATGATAACCCTGATCACTGAGCAGCTACAGAAGCAGACTCTGGATGAGCTGAAATGCACACGCTTCAGCATCAGTCTGGTAAAAGACCAGTCTTCCTGCTTCTCCACAACCCCCTCCCCCTTTTTTCTGAGGCTGTTTGTTTTACTACTACACCCTTGTCCTGTGCTATATGATTCATGGTACCTGTACTGGAAGAGCCCAGTGAAGGCTCAAAACCCAGCTCAAAAGGAAGGGGGCAGGGATTTTTCCACTGCTAGAGAAGGGACACCAGAACTTGGGTGGAGAAGGGTTTGAGATATTGGAAGGTGTGGATTATTTTACTCACTAACTTTGAGAAGACAAGCAAAAGAGAACACTTAGGAATCCCTAACATCCCTGTAGCCCATGAGATGCAGGGGTGAGCTAAAGAGGGCTTTCTGGAGGTCTGTGTCCTAATCCAGAATCATAGTGGATGTTCTCTCTCTCTTACTTAGCCTTTGCCTGATCATGCAGACATCTCCAACTGTGGGAACCCTTTCCAGCTTGTGTCTGGTAAGACATTGTGTGTATATTTGTGTGTATGCCCATGCCTCCATCCACGCATTTCTTTTACTGGTTTCCAGTAACCAGGTTAGGTAGCCTGCCTCCGCAACTTTATTGCCAGGGTCACCTGAGACTGACACTTGTCTCCATTCTACTGCACTAGCATAGAAGTTCTCTGTTTAGTTTGCTCTTAGTCTA